AGATATATAGATATATAGATATATGGATATATATGTTTTTTTCACTACAAAATGGACCTTTATTTATATCCCCCTTTTTTGTTTACTTTTGTCACAGATGGGTATTCCATTGCCATTTAAATATTGTACGTGCATGAATTCAGCAAAGTAATCCAATATAGTCCAGTAGTCCATAATAGTCATGGGTTATCTGTAGGACTGGCAATGTCAGAAGTTGTTGACTTGAGCCTTTATAGCTCAGCATATTAATATGGCTTTATTTTTTATACCTCGTTTTTATACTTTTCTACTGGATGGTTAAGACCAAGATAAAGCAAGACCTATATAACAAAAAAATGTAACTTTTGTATCTGACAGACCAAAAAATTAAAGAAAAAGAAGGACCACAAGGATAGCCAACATTTTGGACCTAGCTCTTCAAGGTCAGTGAGGACTCAGGACATGTAGCTCAGTGGTGTCCCAAATTTTCTGATCAAGGAGATTATGGGGCCACAGAGGAAAGTGATTGATGATGTACAGTGTGCCTAAGGAGAGTCACCTGTAGAGAAAACATTCCCTCAGGCTTTCACAGAGAGCAAATCGGTCAAGCAATGGCCATGACTCATCCACATGGCTGATACTGACAAAAGATCTACGAACTGCTATACAGAGTTTCAGTGTAAATCCTGAGGGGATTTGACTGTCCCTGGCTTTTCTTCCTGCCTCTTTGACCAGTTTTGTTGCTCTTCCTTGCTGGGTGAAGGTGACAAAGGGTGAGATAGAAGAAGGTTTCAGAAGAGAATCTTACAGCCTAGAGTGTTAAACTACATTCCTAGGGCTAGTCAAATAGCTCAGCGGATTAAAGTACCTTCTTAGGGAGGGGTTCAATTCCCCAGCATGCTATGCTGGCCTCACCCCTGGGGCATGCTGAGATGGTGATTAAGACTGGGTGTGGTGATGCATGCCTGTAATCCCAGCTGTTTGGGAGGCTGAACACAGGCGGATCACTATAAGACCGATCCATGTAATGAGACCCTGTAGACCCTTACTAAAAAATATTTTTAAAAAAGAAAGAAAGAAAGTGACAGGGAGCCACTGAAGGTTGTAGCAAGTATGTATACCATCAGATTTGCATTTCTCTAGCAGAAAGAGCCCCTCAGCTGTGGGGGAAAGCGGGACTAAAAGGGGACCTTGGGCTCTTGCACTATTTCAGGAGAAAGACCACGGGGGCCTTCTGAGGCAGTGACAGCCACAGATGTGGGAAAAAGTACGTCACTCATGACATAGTGACAGGACTTTGGGCAGTTCAGATGCAGCAGGTGAGGAAGGGGGAGGTGTCTATCTGGAAGTGAGAAACAGTGGGGAAATGGGGAGCTTGGTTAATTTCTTGGATTGGAGATGCTAGAAGGGTACCTGGCAGATGATGTCTGGGGTGGGGGACGGTGACAAGTCTGGTGCTGAGAAGAGAGGAGCAAGGTTAGGGCTCCTGCAGCACCGCCATGTCAGCAGCAGGGTGGGTCCCTGGGGAGTGCCCGTCCTGCCTGATGAGGTCGGTTGCACCAGATCAGAATACAGAACCTGCAGTGGCTGCGGGTGACCACAGAGCTTTAAAAAGCAGCTTCGCAGCAGGATGTGTCTGGGAGGAGTTCTGAGGGCCACTGGAAGGGGAAGGAAGGGGAGGGACAGCACTGGCCTGTGAAGCACTGGCTCCTCTCTGCAGGTCTGGAGCCAACAGTCAGGCCTAAGGACCAGTGCTGGGGCTCCCCCCAGACAGCTGGCTCCCTGGGACTGCTGGCCTTGTGGGGCAGGGCTGTGGGGAAGCTCCTCCGCCAGAAGACTCAGGGAGCTGAGAAGCTGTAGCCAAACCAAGGTAGGTGCTGGCTAAGAGTCGGTCTCTAAGGAGGGATCCAGGAGAAATCGGAGCAGAGCAAAAAGCAGGCAGATGGGTTGGGGAGGAGGGATGCTGGAGGGACAGCCTCGGAGGAGCCAGTCTTCCTAAGCAGAGCTACCCAAGGCTGCAGCTCCCAGGACTATTCGGCATAGTTATGATAGTTCAACCCATCTTCATTTAATGAAAAGAGTTAAGGCCCTGTAAGGGAGTCTCTTCTTTCTTCTCCTTGAATGCTATACATGCCCGTGCTAATAAAGCTAACCACCCTTGCTCCTGATGTAGCATACCCTTGCGATCCCATTTGATTCTCACTAGCAATTAGAAGTGTTTTCATACCCATTTTATAGGTCTGGAGACTTGAGGCTTAGAGAAGCAAAGCAACTTGCCAGAGATTGCAGGGTAGGTAGACCAGCAGGACTCAGAGTGCATCTTTGGGGTCCTTGTCTACGACCCTTCTGGGACATCACCTGTCCATCCCTCTCCTGGATCGAACGGCCTGGCTAGTTCTGTGTACACTAGGGCTTCAGCAGCTTCCCTGTGTGCAGAAAGTGGCAGAGGCCTGATCTCTGTTCTTGAGGAGCTGATCATCTGCCTTGGGAGCAGAGGCACAGGTGTGGCCTGGGGTGCCCAGGGAGATGGGCTGTGTGGTTGGAGTGGGAGAGGGATGTCATACCCATGCAGGATCAGGGAGGACTCTGGGGACAGTGGCACTTGAGCTGAGACTTCAGGGAGCCCAGGGCCTGGAGTGCAAAAATGAGGCAACAGGCAGCCCAGTGGAGGCAGCAGGGCCCCCAAGCCCAGAGGCAGGAAAGGAGGTACAAAAGGCAGGATTTGGATGAACAGCAAAGGCTCCTTTTGTCTGCTATGCTGCAGAGTTTGGGGAGCACTGTCTGCCACCAGCCTGCCCATCCCCTCATTAGCCCTAGGTGTTTTTCAGACATTACTTCCTTTTGTCCTTTGAGACAGATGCTGCTATCAGGTTTTCTTTAAAGATAAGGAAACAAGGCCCAAAGGTTTTCAGCAACTGGCCAGAGAGGCTCGAGGCTCGATCCACAGAGCAGGTTGGATCCAAAGCAACATAGCAGGGGGCCCTGTGTCACCCGCCTCTCACTAGGGCTTGCTCTGCTGCCCTCTCCCACGCACCCTCGCTGTTTCCAGAGAGCAACCTGGGGCTGGCATGGGGGATAGGAGTGCCAGAATGTCCCCCTGCTGTCCGCCTCCTTGGATCCTATCCTGGTAGGCTCCTGCCCCAGGAACAATGCTTCCACTGCCGAGCTCCTTCCCTCCAGGTGTTTCCTTCCTGTCCAGGAGCAGACTCAGCTGAGAAAACCAGGGCCAGCCAGGAAAGCAGGGCTCCCCTCCCCCTTCTCCAGAAAACTGTGACTCCTTCTGGGCCTCCTGGGGGTGAGGCTGAGGGGTCTCCTCAAAACTCAGAACTCTGTCACCTACTCCCCACATCTGGGAGTTCATAAACCCCGTGCTCCCAACCCCTCGTCTAGCGCGTCTGTCTGCCCTGGAGCTCTGGAGTGAGGTCTTTCTGTGAAAGAGGCAGGTGACAAGTGACACAAGTCACTTCTGCACTGCATGGTGAGCAGGACAGGAGGGAGGCCTAAGTGCGGGCCCTGAAGCTCCCTGACTTCTCGGTATTGCTCCTTCCTGCTCTCCTCTCGCTTAATTCTCCATCAGACGCCCCCGAGATGATGTCTCTGCTGTTTTCTTTGCTGGGGCTATTTCTCCTGCAGGTAGGGCACGGCTCTCTGCTGCATCTTTCAAGTTTCTACTCCAAGTCACGTACCCCGACCCCTAGCAGCCATCACCTTATAAAATCACACATGATGTGTAGGAGGTGGGGAGATGTTGGTTGAAGGATACAGTCTTATTTGTGAGGAATAAGAAGTTATTCGAGATATTTTGCACAGCATGGTGACCATCGTAATAATGCTGTCTTGTATATGTATGGTCCCCAAATTACAATGACCCAACTTAGGATATTTTGGCTTTACGACAGTACCAATGCATACCCACACAGCCACTTTGTTTATCTCTTTTGAGATAGTACTGAGTTCTGCGAGATATTCAATACTGTATTATAGAAAAGCCTTCATGTGGTCTGGAGAGATGGCTCAGCGGTCTAAACACCTGCATGGCAAGTGCAAGGACCTGGGTTCGATCCCCAGTACAGCATGTTGTGCTGCCATGTGCGGCACTGGTCACTAAAACCGCACGCCTCTGTGATCCCAATGCTGGGGAGGTTGAGACCAGAGGATCACTATGAGTGTGAACCCGTGTCAATTAACTAATTATTTAAGAAAAACCTGACCTAGTCATAATGTGTGCAAAGAAATACCACGAAGTCAGCCAGGTCGGGCAACAGAGTGAGACCTTGTTGCAAAGGAAAAAACAAGAAAAATTAGGTAAAATGATGAATATGTTAATTAGATTGGTTTCATGATTCAATACTGCATACATATATTATGACATGACTCTGTCCCCCATGAATATATTCATTTTTTTAAAAATGTATTTGGTACAAGGACTCACTATGCAGCTCAGACTCAGTGATTCTCCTGTCTTCAGCCTTCCCAGTGCTAGGATTACAGGTGTGTGCCACCACACCTGGTCTCAATGGCCAGCTCAGTGAACCCCCGGGAGCAGGGCCTGCACAGCATGTGGTGCCTGTGATCAAACCCCAGTCCCTGTGCTTGCCTAAGCAGGTGCTTAGTCTGCTGAGCTATCTCATTGGCCCTATATACAAAATTTTTTAAATATAAAATAAACGCCAAATATCCCTCCCCAACTCTGGAACTTCTCATTCCCCTTCCCAACTTTTTAGAAATAGTATTTATCATCCTCTAATATGCAATTTAAATATTTGGCTTATTGCCCAACCCCTCCCTTCCTGGTACACACCCTCTGGCCTGCAAACAACCTCTGAGGACAGGCATGCTTGTCTGTCCTTCTATCCCCAAGTCTAGAGCCATCTCTAACATATAGAAGGTGCTCAACAAATATTTGTTGAATGAATAGGTGAATTCATCCAGTTATTTAGTCTCCAGTTGGAAATCCGGCTTTCCTACCTTTTTCTGCTATAGCATCTGGAATATGGCTGAGAGCCACTGTAGAAGTGAGCTGGTGAATGATGGTGCAGGCCATGACATGACTCTGTACCCCATGACTCTGCACCCCATGACTCTGTACCACACAGGCAAGAGAGGCCTGTGTGAGGCCGCGCTCCGGGGTAGCCAGCCTTCATCCCCATCCCTGCTTCCCAAGGTCCTCCTGCCTGTGGACAGAGGCTGCTGCTGCCTTTCCTGTGGTGCTGTCCTGTGGTTCCTGGGGCAGCTGGGAGAGGGTAGGGTATGTGGATGGGCTCCAGCAGGTCCTGAGATCTGTCAGTACTGCGTCCATCATTTCGCTGCACCAAAGCAGCAGACATTGTCGCCTGCGCTATCTGTGAAGGGGCCTGAGACAGATCCCTCACCACGGGCGATGGAGTGGCCACCAGCTGAGTGTGGCAACACACAGCGTCCTTCTTGCCATGGTTTCTGTCTCCCTCCTTCCTCTGCGACTGCTGTCTTCTTAGGCAGGATGCTGAGCACCACCATGCTTGTAATCTCTGTTTCCCTTGGCTGTACTAATGCACCAGGCAGCCTTGCATCTGTCCTCTAACTTGGGAGTGGCTTGGAGACAGAGACTCTGTCTTGCCTTCTTATGAGCAACCGACATTCATTCATTCATTCATTCATTCATTCATTCAATAATATTAATTGAGAGTTTCCTGTGTGGCACAAACAATGTCAGGGTGTGGTGTTACAGGAGTCATACCTTGAAGTCTTACCTTGACTTCATTCCCATGAAGTCATGCATTGTCTTCATGGGATTGCATTCAAGTGTGGACAAGGAATCAGTCAGCAAACACAATACAGTGCATCAGGTGCTGTGGAAAACTACAGAGATGGACCAAAACTGTTTACTGAATGACTTATAGGGCTCCATGGGGAACGCTAATGCCCAGCTCATATCAGGCCTTCTGCAACTGACTCTTCTCTTTGAGAGCTAGAACTTGAACCATAATGTAACTTTCAGTTGGCCAGTGAGTCTGTCTTCAGGAACACAACAGGTAGCATAAATCGTGACCCAAGCAAGGTGACAGTGCCCATGCTGTGGACACCAACACAGCTCTATGTTCTGGATGCAGAGGATGAGAACCTGGGAATCCTATAGCTCTTCAACAGGGGCAACTGTTCTTCAGTGCTCTGATTATTACCATGTGGAGCTGCAGACTCAGTGTTGCCCAGCCTCTCAGTTACCATAAATAAAAGTTTAAATTTTGAATTGTATGTGAAATCTGACTTTTCAATGTTGACCACAGATTTGGGTGTCCAAAATCTGTAGGGTTCTGCATGAACTGTATGCTGACTAACACAGAGGAACAGATGTACCAGAGGATGGGTGGAAGGATGTTTGCTTTTCCTTATACAGTCATGGGGGCTTTTAGGGTTTTACCATATGCATGGCTTTTAAAGTGCATTTTAACCTGTGCTCAGCAGGGTGCAGTCTCCAGAGTTCCTTCATGAAAATCTGTGAAATAGGAAGTATTATGATTGCATTAGTCAGGGTGCTCCAGAGCAGCAACACCATGAGAAGACAGAGATCACAGAGGCTGAGAAGGCCCAAGAGAGCTCATGGTGTAGTTCCCGCCCAAGCCCAAAGGCCTGAGAACCAGAAGAGCCAATGCTGTGAGATTCTATGTGGCTGAAGGCCTAGAAGCCCAAGACACTGATGCCCCAGAGCAGAGAAGTAGAAAAGCTCGTAGAGAGAACAAGTCCACCCCACCTCTGCCCTCTTGTCCACTCAGACTCTCAAAGCTTGAATGGTAAACCACCCCCCCCCATGCTGGTAAGGCAGAGCTTCTTTAGTCAATCCCTAACTCCAGTGCTAATTTCTTCTAGAGGCTTTGCTAGAGTGCTGATATTGAA